ACTCCAGCACCCCCCTGGGCAGGCCATTCCAGTGCCTGACCACCCTCTGAGAGAAAAAGTTTCTCCTAATATCCAACCTAAACCTCCTCTGGTATAACTTCTTGCCATTTCCTCGGGTCCTACTATTTGCCTGGGAGAAGAGGCCAAACCCTTTTGCACCACAACCTCCCTTCAGGAAGTTGTAGAGTGCAATGAGGTCTCCCCTGAGCCTCCTCTTCTCCAGACTGAACAATCCCAGCTCCTTCAGCCGCTCCTCATAAGACCTGTGCTCCAGATCCCTCACCAGTTTCGGTGCCCTTCTCTGGACACGCTCCAGGGCCTCAATGTCTTTCTTGTAGTGAGGGGCCCAAAACTGAACACAGTACTCGAGGTGCGGCCTCACCAGTGCTGAGTACAGGGGGATGATCACCTCCCTGCTCCTGCTGGCCACACTATTTCTAATGCAGGCGAGGATGCCATTGGCCCTCTTGGCCACTTGGGCACACTGTCGGCTCATGTTCAGCCGAGCATCAACCAACACCCCCAGGTCCCTTTCCTCTTCACAATCATCCAACCACTCATCCCCAAGTCTGTAACACTGCCTGGGGTTGTTTTGGCCAAAGTGCAGAAACACGCAATGATGCTATAAGAGCCCAATGAGAGCAAACTGCATTTGTGAAAGAGTTCCACAGTATAAAATAGTTGAACATGTGCAGCATAGAAACATTTAGTAAAACTTGTGACAAACAAGTCAAAAACTGACATAGAACTACAAAAGTAACAACAATAACAAAAGACTGCTTATTATAAATAGGATAAATAGGATAAATGCATAAATATTATAAAATTATTATAAATAGGATAAACGTAAAGTAACCTTCCCCATATATCAAAATGTAAAGACAATATTGAACTTTTGTTCCCAAACAACTACATCAAATGTATGTGAAGACCACAATTCTTTGAATAACTAAAATAGAACAGAGAATTCCGGAATTACGAGCCTGGCTTCAGACACACAACTGGCACAGAAAGGCTGCTCCCAATGGCAAGGTCATTTCATTTAATGCTAGTTTGGATAACTCTGCAGACTTTAAACATCCTATGGGTCTCAATTGTATCTGCACTCTTAACTTTAGCTGGTAGTGACCTCATCTCATATCACATTCTCATGAAGAATCTGTCCTAGGTTCTGTTTCAGAAATGATTCTGTAACTTGAGTTGTTCTATACTTTAGCATGAGATGAACTTTTAGGAAAAAAAAAAAAATCAAACAAAACTTAATCTGAGAATACAGCATTGCATAATTTTATTCTCAGAGACTCAGTGTGCTTTCAGAAGCTGATGCAATAGGTTTTACTGCTTGCTGTACTTAAAAGTTTGCATTGTTTTATTGATGATTGTTAGTGACAATATGAGTTGCATAAATATGCTAACTGCGATCCCTGCTTACTTGTAGTTTCTTCATCTTCTAAGTCTTGCAGTATAACCTTCTCAGCATCTTGATTTCTGCTTTTTATGAAATTTAAATAGGAGAGAACTGAATCTGGCAGATCATCTGAAATCTAGAAAAATAAGACAGTTCACATAAATTCTTCATTTTCATCTCACTGGTACAGCTAAAGGTAAATACTTAATATGCAAGAATACTGATTCAGTTAGGATTCATCCATAAAACACCAATGGAAATTTAGTAGCACTTGCTACCAAAATTATTCACAGTTTTTGTGCTGGGAATTCTCACTGTTCCCACTGTCTTATCATCCACTGAACAATTAATAATTATCATTCTTATGCTTTAATTAAATTTTACATTTATTAAATTACACATTTTAGTAGCTTATCTTCTGAAAACTTCAGAAATGTTTTAATTAATATTTCCTTTTGTAACTGTCACAGATAAAGAAATTAAGAGTTGAGACAAAAATTAAAAAATTTAAAAAAACCAAAAAACTAAAACATACAATGCACAGAATCTTTTCCATAAGGATGTTACAACTCCTTCAGAAGCAAAATTAATTTTAATTTTGGTGCAATAAACATTTAAGGTATCTGATGTTTCAACTTATTCTCCCATATAGACATTTCCTACTCAAAATATCATCATCTCAGAGATTAGGGAAAATGGTCTGCCTTTTCTAGATGTGTAAATTGTTGTAAAGAGTGCTGGCATTTTAACATGTGAGCGCATAAACAATCACCATTGATGGTCAATCACCATAGACCTTGGTCAACCACCGTTTGTATCAAATTTATATGATTAATGGTCTCGTATGACCAACTACACTAATATCCTATAGATATGAGATCATCTACTTGAATATCCTATAGATCCCGTACAACTTTTAATCACAGGTAAAAGCAGTATGAGCCATCTGAACACTTACTGACTCGGTGTCACTCACAGATTCCTCTGGTACCACTGTGTCAGGTTCATCTGCTTCGAAGGAAGAAACACTGATTCTACTTAATTCACTTTCTATTTCTTTTTCAATTCTTTCGATATCTTCTGACATTCTACTTTCTGTAGAGTCGTACCTGCTTTCAAAGCTACACAAAGAAAATATTACCTATCACTCCCACGTCAGCCAAAATAAGGAGTGTGCTCATTTAGTGTGAGCTAAATATATAAATAATGAACAGCTGGCTTTACATTTCAGAAGGAGCAGCAGAAGTTTGCTCTGAACACTTCAGACTACAGAAGAAGCAAGCAACAGGTAGAAAAATGTTTACCCATCTCCTCACACAATCCAGGGACAGAGAAGCAGCTCACAGCCGCTCCTTCGCAGGGAGAGAGCACCCTCGTTCCCTCCCGTCTTTCCTCTCGGAGCAAGGCATGGGGTACGTTGATAAAAAACACTCCTTCCAGAGGGCACCGCGGAAGGGCATCTCCCTGCGGCTGCACTCTGCGCGCTGGGGGGCTGCAGCCCGCCCCCTCCGGGTAGTTGCTCCAAGCTCCGAGCAGCTACTCACCTCTCCTACTGGCCGCAGAGAAGAACGGACAGCCCCTCCGCCTTGAAACTCTCCATCCACTAACCGCTGTCGGGTAGTCCCCGGGAACGGAGGGCGAGCCTCCACCGCGTCGAGAGCGTCACCATGGCAACGGGACGCTCAGGCGGCGGGCTGGAGGGCGCGCCTCGCGGCGGGGGGGGTGGTGCCTATTGGAAGGGTAATGGCAAGGGCTGGAAATTAGCCTGTCCCAGCATGGAAGGAGTTCGCGTCATTCAGTAGGGCAGAAGTAATTAGGGAGACAGGGAGAGTGCGGATGGTATAGGTTTAACGTAAGGTGATTCCTGAAGACCTGACGAGGAGTGCAAGGATGCCTATAGCCTGACAGTGAGAGCTGGCAGGTGGAGACAGGCAGGGTTTGCATGGAAAATGTTCTGGGTACTGAGGAGGGTCTGCCATTCACAGGAGGCACAGAGGGGTGGTTTTTTTGTTTGTTTTGTTTATTTTTGGAGGCGTTGGGTGTTTTTTGTTTGTTTTTTTTTTCTTCTTTTTTTTTTGTTTGTTTTGTTTTTGTCTCCCAGCATCTTTAAAATAGACTGTAAGACATATGCTGATTAAGCTTGAGATACTGGACTCAAGGGCAACTGCTTTGTGTTTTCTTGCAGATGTTACTAGTCAGTAAGACGCTCAAATCTTAATAGTATGAAAACGTGTCCATTTGAAACCCACAATCTAACTTTTTGCAGGGTCACGCAGCCATCAAACGTCTCAATATGGTTGTGTTACAATGTTCAAGCACTGAGCTGAATTCAGGCTTTGGTACAAATTTTTTAATGCGAAATAAACTGTCGTCATGGTGATGGAATCACAAGACACTGTGTCTGCATTCAGCAAACAGCTTTGCCAGGATAAAAGAACTATCTGTCCACCTGCCTTCTGTAACCAGGAAGTAAGGGGTGGTCAACAGAAACGTAAACGTGTGGTTAAGATGCACATAAGGAAGAAACATCATTATAAGATTGTATTCTCTCAGGTAAGACAGAAATACTCAGAGCAGCTAAAGATTTTCTTGTAGCCGTTAAATGTAAAATGAATATTGTTTTGTAAAGACAATATTTTCCACATAAGTGATTAAAGAGAAATTGAATCACTGTTAAAATGCTTCAAAACAAAGCATTGCAACTATATAATTATTAGAGTAACCTGTTCTATAGGTGTCCCTGCCTATAGTAGAGGGGTTGAGACTAGATGATTTTAAGGGTCTCTTCCAACCTAAACGATTCTATGATTACAACAAAACCATTTTTGATGCCAGAGTTCAAGTGAAATTTGCAACCATTTAAGGCCTTTTTTTTTTGTTGTTGTTGTTCTTTTAAATAAAAACAATACATAAAATCAGTGGTTTACTACATTCCAGCTTTGACAATTCTGATGAAATTCAATTGCTCTTAAAAGCAGTGGATCTTCTCCAGGGAAAGTGCAAAAGCATTTGTCTAATTTATCTGCTAAGAGTTTTGAAGTTTACACAATGCATTATAGACCCAAGTCCATTTCAGAGCTAGTTTGAGAAGGATTTAGCTTTCTTCATTCTGCAATTCAGCAATTATATTTTTATAATTCAGATAACAGGAGTATAAGAAATAAAAAACTGGTGTTTGCTGAATCTTTTTATCAGTAAATTTGATACGTATGTAACGTGCATTTTTGTGTGTAAAATAAATTCTTATTAATGCAAGATAGATTTTGATCATAAATGCTTCATCTTTATCATTTTCTTCTATTTTACAAATGGTGGAGGATGTAATTAATCTGTAGTAATTCTGACAAAAGATGAGTACCACATACAGTTCCTTTTAAAAACATCCCTTTGGATTTAAAAACACTTTCTGAAGAGTATGCACATGCTGGCTATGTGCGTGAGTCTGTACACATTTGTATGCTTGTCTGCCTTACAAGGGAAAGGTAGGGACAATTGCAATAGGCTGCTCTTGTAGAAGCCACCATCTTTTAACCTTTCTCTTGGACTTTCTCCAGCTTATATCACCAATCCAGGCAGACCGGAATGCTGGAGTATGTTTACAGAAGATACAAGACAGGTGAAAAGGAACCAGTGGGGGGCAAACATAGGAGTTTCTCTCAATGGAGGAATCTTGATAGACCCGTAGGGTATCTAATAATGATAGTAATGCTGATACATAAAAGCAAAGCCTCGGATCAGATCCTTTACAGTGCTAAGAGACTTACCTGCTGAAATACACTAAAGCATGCTCAAAACATCAGTGCTAAGGTTACTTCATTAAGCTTTTGTTTATGTTTGCAAGTGCTATAACATACTAATCTAATTGGTAGAGTGATACAGTTGGTTTTCAGGACCTACTGCACACCACATCTATTCAAGGGTAGTTGATTTGCTTAGCATCTGGGCTTGTCCTTCCACTGAGAGCCCTTATATTATTGTTGACAGAGTGCATCTCTTGGTTTAGCTTACTTTGAACTGAGTTAAGCTCCTCACATCCCATTACATTCCACAATAACAAAAAAGCTCACAAAGATAAGAACTAAGTGGGAATGACTGGGAGATTAACTTCAAAAGTGAAAAGCATACTCTGGTTTCAGGACATGAGAGTTGTTAACACCATTTGACAGCTCTCATGGTTTTGTTGGAGCTGTGTGCTGGATCTCACTGAAATCACTAACCTGTATGTACCATTTCAAAAACGAACCCACTTGATTTAAGTTGTGTAGATGGAGGGAGCTTGTATTTTTGTTATGATTCTCCTTTATTTCAGCTAGCAATGTTAAGAATTTGTAAACAAAATGTTTCTAGCAGTTTAGGGACAAAGGGATGAGAGACTATGTAATTCTTGCCATCTCTGCAATCTAAGTATTCTTACATACATGCTGCCTCCAAATGTCTTCAGCAGTTAAGAGAAAAAAGTGTTAAAGTCTGTATGTGTATATATATATAAATGTGTAAAATACAATGTTAGAGGCAATTGAAACCATCCACCGTGTTGATGCATCTGCTGTTGCTTCCAGCTTTTGTTCAACATCAGGTGACTGTCTAAATTTGATCTGAAAGAAATAAATCACCTAAATATTGATAGATATCTGTTTCATATGGACTGATGTATAACCAAGATGTTGTAATCGCAATATAATCAAAAGAGTAAGGCAAAAGCAAACAAGGATCACAAAAGAGAATAAGTAGAAGAGCTTACCCTTGGGTTGAGCTCACTAGAAGATACCAAAAGAGGAGGATCTCCAGAAGAGATCCTTCCCCTCTGGTAGCCAGCTCTTAAATAGGTCCAGGAGGGGTGGAGCCTGGCTCCACCCCTTCCGGCAGCACAGGTGCATTGCCTTCACCTGTGCTCCTCTGGCTGACTCATGGCTCACCTCAGGTGATTAATCAGAGGTTCAGGCCGTGACTCAGCAGTTCCCATACACTCCACCCCTTCACGGCGTGAACCAATGATCAGGTTAACAAAAGGGTAAGCTTTCCCTAATACAGAGATCCGGTATATCGCGACGCTTATACAATTTTATCGCGACGTATGTTGGTACAGTTCAAGACAAGTGATGATTAGTGGATGTCCATACTCTTCTATGGGCCAGTGCTCGATGATGTGCCTGGAGGCATGAGGTCCTGAGGTGCAAGTCCATTCTATGTTCCATCAGTCCCATGCAGACCATCACCGGGTGTTGTACGTGATCTGACAGCAACACTGGAACGCTTGATGGCATTTTGTTCCTTCCGGTGGTCCTGAAGGCTCACAGACTCACGGGGAGTAATACAGATGTTTTACAGGTACCAGGAGGGGAAGGTCTGCTCTCCAGGGCAAGATACAGGCCGTATTTCTGTCTTGGGTCAACACTTCCGCTTGTACTGGGGCACGTCCTGGCCGCCTGTACCACACCTTTTGGCTGGATATCTGCGGCTGCATAACGATATCAGACACCAAAGGAGGTGTCCTGATCTGCCATAGGGACATGATGGGGGTCCCTTTAGCAATAAAGATCGGAGTGTTGACCACAATATCAGTAGGCGATGTACCTATTACTGGAGGGACTACTGAGCCTCCCACCTCCAATAGTCTCCCCCAAGGTGCAAGTAGGCCACACCACTTGGGTCCTACCTGCACCTTCCAGGGCCATTTTATTTTATGGGTACCTGGCTCTAAGTTTTCAGGGGCAGGGAGCAGAAGATTATTTTCATTACCAATCTGGGGTCTTACCTGATGATCAGTGCCCGTAATTTGGATCCTAAGCGGGGTGGCCCATGTCGTCTGCAACATTCTCAGGGCACTGGGTCTGCCATCTCGAGGTCTTTCATTCAGGTCCCGCAGGGTTTCACACAGTCTTTTTGTCCACCCCTGCAAGGACTGGGAGTCTGTCTTCAGGGCAGCCTTAAGAATACCATTATAATGTTCGATGAGGCCTGCCCCCGTTGGATTATATGGCAGGTGGAATCGCCATTCGATGTTATTTTCTTCTGCCCAGCGCTGTATCGTTGCACCAGTAAAATGAGTCCCTTGGTCGCTCTCGATGACTTGAGGTGTCCCATAGGCAGACATCAGTTTAGTGAGTGCCTTGATGGTATATGCCTGGTTTGCTTTCGGTACTGGATAGGCCTGCAGTAGCCCACTTGCAGTGTCGACACAGGTCAGGGCATATCTTGCCCCTTCGGAACGAGGAAGGGGCCCGATGTAATCGACCTGCCATCGCTGGAGAGGATTGTGTCCCCTAGCAAGATGGGCTGTTGTTTCGGGCAACGATCTCGGTCTCATCTTGGAGCAAGCGTCGCAATCCTGGCATGCCTGGACGATATCAGATAGTTGTATGGGCAGTCCCCATGCTTTAGCAGCTGCCCACATTGTCTTTTGTCCAGCATGCCGTAGCTTCTGATGTAACCAGCGGGCGATGTTCTCAGATGGTGAATTCTCAATCCATCGAACTCGGGCCAATGTGTCGGCTTCATCGTTTCCCGGTGACTGTAGGGGCTGATGACCAGAAACATAGTAGACACGTACAGTCCTGTGTTTGACCGTATTCCATATATCTAACCACATGTCTTTGCCCCAGATCGGTCGGGCGTGGATAGTCCATTCCTGGGTGGCCCACTGTGCAATCCAAAGAGTGAGCCCCCGGTACACAGCCCAACTATCTGTGCAGATGTTCAGGATACCATCACCGGGTTCCTTGGTTATAACCATCCACACGGCTCGCAGTTCTGCCCATTGGCTGCTCTGACCATCCCCCTCATCGAACCAGATTGTCTCGGTGGAAGGATGGTATGCTATTGCTCTCCACTTGCTCGGGTTGCCCTTGCTGGACCCATCTGTGTACCAGGCATCTTCAGGGATAGGATATTTTCCCTCCTGAACGGGACTCTTCTCTGGTGGAGCGACCAGTATTTCTTTTGGTGCATCACTGTGATACGTAACTGGGCCTAGGATCTTCTGGAGTTCTTCTTTCAAGGGGGATGAAGACAGACTGCTCCTTTGGCTGAGATAGGCGACCCATCGTGCCACTGTTTGTGCTTGGGCCACCCCTGTCTTAGGAAGGTGGGTCAGATCTTTCACCCACCCCTGAATTGGCAGAGTGGTCTTGACTATAACTGCAGCTGTTTGAGTTGTTGGCTCTACTGCCTGTAATGCCGAATAGGCAGCCAATAACTGTTTTTCAATCATACTGTATCTTTCTTCTGCTCCATGCCAAACCTGAGACCAGAAACCAATGGGGGTCTGAACAGAACTCCGGCGTTGCCACAGGCCCCAACCGAAGCCATCTTGAGTAACATGAACGTCCAACTCGGCTGGGAGGGTAGGATCGAATATACCCAATGCCTGAGCTTGTTTAACTGCCAGTTTTGCTTGTTGGAAAGCATCCTGTTCGGTTTTCCCCCAGTCCCATAGCTGCCCCTTTTTTGTGAGTCTGTATAGTGGCCTTAGCAGCTGCGCTAGGTGAGGTATAAAGGAACGCCAATAACCCAATATACCTAGAAACTCTTGCAGCTGCTTTGATGTTGTAGGGACTGGGAATGCCTGAACCTTATCTATAACAGCACTGGGTAGCACTTTGGTCTTTCCTGACCAAACCACCCCCAGGAATTTTACGGACAGGCCTGGACCTTGCACCTTTTGGGGATTTATAGCCCATCCCCTTTGTTGTAAATAGGCAGTTAATGAAACTGCTGCCTGTCCTACTGCCTCCAGTGAGTCGGATGTCAACAGGAGATCATCAATATAATGATATAGGTTAATATCATCAGGTTTTCTCCAGTCAGCCAGGTCACGCGCCACTAGATTGTGACAATACGTTGGTGAATGCACGTACCCCTGTGGCAGGACCTGAAAGGTCCACTGCCTGCCTCCCCACGTAAACGCAAACTGATCTTGCGATTTCTCAGCAATTGGGATACTGAAGAATGCATTTGCTAGATCTAGAACACAATGATAGGTTTTTATCTCCCTACTCAATGTGTCCATTAGGGAGGCAATATTGGGTACGGCCGCATGAATAGGCGGCGTGACCTTATTTAATTCTCTGTAATCTACTGTCATCCTCCATGTGCCATCCGACTTTCGCACCGGCCATATGGTGACTGAATATGTTATTATACTTTCAGCTGCAATTCAAAACAGAAAACAGAAGAACCAAAATAAGATATAAATTAGTAACATGGAAAATAACCTTTACTGTCTTCAATGGAATTTTCTTGGTAAAAAAAAGTTTTATTCTTTCCTGTTTATCAACTTAAAATTAATTGTTAAAAATAATTTAAGTGAAAACAATAATCCTTGTTTTCTTTTCCAGGTTCTGGGTGTTATGCTTTGGCATTTGGTTTGTGGCTTTTATTTGACAGGAATAATTTATTTTGTGTATTATGTGAGTATAAATAAATTTTCACTTGTTTGATTGAAATGTTTGTAAGGTAAATGAACAAATGCAGGTACTTTTTCACAAGGTGGCGATGTTGAATTGAAATGCATAGGTTATTTTTCTTTTGGGTATGTTTTCCATCAATATGATTTTCAAAAGAGGATAAATATCCTCAAAAGAGGATAAAATACAGCATATATCAGTACATGTAAAATTTATTTATGATTACAATTTATACAATTTATTTATTTAACTTGGTGTGTGGCCTGTAGAAGAATTATTGAAATATAAACCAGATTTATCAATATTTTAAAATATAATTTATCAGAACACATTTGGCATGCATTTGGCAAGATTATAGATCATTTAACTGGGTATTTGGCGGAATAAATGCCAGCTGGCACTTGTGCTTTGTTTGAGTTGCATGACAACAGCCATGCTCTTAAGGAATAGTTTTTCTCAGCTCTGCTGAGGAGTACCAGTTCACCCATCCAGTAAGGAACTTCTGAGATAAAGCACTTGAGATGGAAATAATGACAACCTCCTGCTAGATTCTATGTCTGGGCAAAAATGATCAAAAGGGAAAGGGGACAGTTGCCAGTCGCAAAGAGGAAGGACTGCATTGAATTTGCATCTGGAAGAACTCTGTTCATATTCACACAGAATTTGCACATGCATTACTAACTTTTGGAGAACAACTGTTCACATTGTTTAGCCGTGTATGTTCTGCTCATGTCTCATATGTTGCCATCATATGAATTTATGAAACGCATCTTTTGGCTTCCGTGACTAATTGCAGTAAGAATGTCCTTTTATCATTCTACTGTTTACATCTTTTGAATAATGGCATTGAAAAGGTTTAGTCATTTGGTTTGATTTTTTTTGATATATTTTTTTCCTTGATTACGCTTTGTAAGTGGAAGTCTTGAATAAAAAGAAGTAACACAACGTATATGCAGTTTCTTCAGGTGAGAACCAACTGGTGGTGTGTGTTTCTTTTATGTTACTTGGAGTTGGATCTCTTATTATTTTTACATCAGTCATGGAATTCCTTGGAAAAGTTAAGAAAATCAGATGCCTACTAGTTACAGTAAGTGTAAATCAGACTCCAGATGTTATTAACCTATTTGAAATGTGGGTGAAATCAGAGTGCTCCTGTCTTGATGTTGTATTTAAAAAGCAGGCTAATAGAAAGATCTTGTCAGATTAGGTCTTATTTTTAGTGAAATCTGAACAAAACTGAAGACTTCTGTATAAATGTATCAGTAAGCAGAGAGATGTGAGGAGTGCAGGAATCTTCTTTCTACTTCTTTCTGGCTATTATCGTACTTACTTAGTGTTTGCTTGACAGCTTATTAGATGATGATAAAGAAATGTCTCATTTCTGGCTTTCTTGAAGTTGTATGAAAATTAGGCACTGTGGACAAAAATTTTTCTCGGTGCAAATGAACAAAATTCATGAACTATCTTTGTTCTTTTCTGCATCTTCTAGTCAAAGGAGTTCTTACCTAAGTGTGAGACTTCCAGGTCTCATGGTAAGGACTGAGAGAGGAAATAATGAAACAAGACTTTTCTTCAATGGAGCACAACTGCTTGTGGTCAGCTTTTATTTTACACTTCCCTGAAGGTTATGGCTTTCACACTGGCCCTGAATGAGGCCAGTTGAGTTGTGCATTGCCTGAAGTCTGATCTAATGTTAAAAGTGACTATGATGTCATTTTCTTAGGGCCTCCTGGAAAAGAATATTTCTTATTACAAAAAATATAAATAATAGTCATGAAGGGTAATATATAGGGGCTTCTGGAATAATCTATTATATTACTTGGTACTGTGGTTTAACCCGGCACCAAACTAAGCACCAAACAGTTATTTGCTCATTCCCCCCTTCCCAGTAGAATGGGATAGAGAATAAAAAAATAAAAAAGTAGAGTTTGTAGGTTGAGATAAAGCTATTTACTAAGGTAGAGAGAATGAAAGGATAATAACTATGACAAATATATATGTGTTTATTTACTTATTTATATAAATGTGTATAACAAGTGATACATAAGCAATTGCTCACCACTCCCTAAGCAATGCCCTGCTAGCCCCCGAGCAGCATAAGAGAATGAGATGAACTCTCACTCCCTTCAAAACTCCTTCTGCATGATGTCATATGGTGCAGAATATCCCTTTGGCTAGTTCAAGTCAGCTGTCCTAATTCTGTTCCGTCCCAGCTGCTCCTTGGGCCTTTCACTGAGAATAGCATTGCCTCTGTACAACATTGCTTAGCTCATCTGTAAGCATCAGCTATAAATACATACAAATGTGTTATCAACATTTTTTTTCCTACTAGAACCAAAACACAGCATCACATCAAGTAGTAAAGAAAACAATTCCATCCCAGCTGAAACTAAGACACTTGCTTATTCAATATTGTGTTTATTAATAATCTGTAATTCTTTTTCAGTATGTGTGTTTTCAAGTCCTGGTGTTTTTCACCCAGATTGCCATGTCAGCACTGATATTTTTGAAGAAAGAAGTGGTAAGTAAATAAATTATTACATGGGACTGCTATTAATTACAAAATACTTTCTTGCCATCAATTTAAAAAAAAAATCTAATAGTTCTCACTGCAGATATATCACTATTTATTTGGGCTTCAGTATTCTATATGTTGACCAGGCACAACAGAGCATTTGAATTTAAAGACTTCAGCATGGTTAAATGATTGTTAAGAGAAATTTCCAATTTATCTTCTTCTGTATTTCAGCAAAACGTTCTCTTTTTGTTCAGCCATGTAGAATCAACAGTGACACAGGGACAGCTTATTTCTATTATATTTTTTTATTATTTTGAAAGATGACCTAAAAAGTCCCCCTTTCCTGGACTTCAGAAGATATAGGAGGAAACATTAGATGACAGTCTTTTCTTGTGGGTAGTAATAGCAGTCTACTGTGCCATTGATAGTAGAAGTCATTTGTATCGTGGCATTTAATGTATACTCATGAATTACCAGTTTTATTATTTGAGCCTGTTTTTTAAATCCGAGTAGAGACCAATTGTATGGATATTCATAATGCTTTTAAAAACAGGATTCTATGATAAATACAAACATAGTTGTTATCACTAGTAATTGTACTGTCTTAAAACTTTATGTAATAACTGTCCAATGTTTATTTCTCTATAAATAGTGATTCCAATAGCTTGAGCACCCCTCAAAGTACTGTGCAGAAGGCACTCTGTACCAAATGCCTAAAGATCCTGCTTCTTCCCCATTCTGCAATTCCAAAATCTGTTGTTTGAGAAAGCTCCCATGGCACTTGCCTCATAAACATTATAAGGTTCTTCAAAGCCTACTGCTGTTCAGCACAGCACAAATAAAGTAGTTTTACTCCATCAAAGTCAATTTGTATCATCAAGATTTATTTTAAAAAAAGTTAATTTATAATGATAGAGTACTCCCTGTTTTATATTCTGGTTCTATATATTGCAAGATTTGAACTCAGTGATGCATTCTGGAGTTAATTATTTTTTCTGAAAAAATGGTTGAAAGACTGCAGTTAAATTTCACTTGTAATTTCACTTGATCTCAACCTTAATTAAAGTACTGCTGAAATATATTAAATTGTAGTAATTTGTCATTCACTGTGCAAGCTTTTGAACTTCGTTATTTGAACAGCAAAGGCAACTGAATTAAGTTGAAGAAAGCTTTTTTTTGTTGTTGTTTTGTTTTGCTTTGTTTTTTAATCAAAACTTTCAGGGGGCTAGGAGTTCTCATATGCATGTATTCCCTGTAATACTCTGTGATCAGCTTGTCTGTTTCAGTTGCTGTTGAAGGTATATTTTAAGAAGTTCTGTAAAGATCCCTGATCTAGGTTCAAGCTGCTAACAACTCTAGCCCAAAGCAATACATATCCTAGCCAAAGAGTGTGGCGTTTATGCATGATTGCATCACATTTGTTGTTTTTTGTTTGTTTATTATTATTATTGTAAGGTGCTGTGCTTACTAACAAGAATAACGGGTAGGATTTTCTACTTCAGGACAGCTAAGGTGCATCTAAACTATGTTATCTGGCTCATCTGACAATATCTGGGCTAAGCAACTTCTGCCTGCCTATGCTACATTTGTGCTTTAGTCTCTTTTCCTGCTTTCAGTTTTACTACGAGTCCAATAGCTATGATATGGTTCAGCTTGTATTTAGCAAACTGATTGCTTGCAAGTGACCATTGTCAACATCTGAATATCAATAAAAAGTCAAGGATTATACAATCCATTCACACTGTTATCTATATAAGCACATACCAAATGCTCTAAACATTTATTTACTGACAGGTCTACCATCAATGGAACAACAGAATTGATGAAGTTATTTCTGACTATGGGAATAAGAGTCTGGCTGAGAAGGAACCTGTGTGGAATATTCTGAATGCTATGCAGCAGAATGTAAGGGAAACCCAAATCAGAACTTAAGTACAAAATAACTCCTTTAATAAATGATTACCTTTTTAGGATCTGCTACTAATATCTATTGGGGTAAGTGTGTGTGTGTGTGTGTGTGCACGCGCGCGCACAGATTCCTTAACTTACATGGGCATGGTTGAGATTAGCTGTTTGGCACGCTTGTCTATGCATTTAGGAATGGATGCTGTTCCTGTTACAGAAGTTTATTGCAGCTGAAGAAAATATGTATGTATTCATACATATTTTCTAATGTATTCAGCAGTGTGTGATATCAGAAGACACTTGGTCTGCATATGTCTGAATGCTAACATGTACAATTGGCAAGTAGCAAGAGTATCAGGTCAAGTCAGAGCTCCTACTGACTTGGAGGCATTTGAATAAATATTGCAGCAAGCCTTTCTCAGAAATAATGCTTAAAGTCTCAAATTAATTTAATTGTTAATCATTTTTGTTGTCTGCAAATATGTAATTTCCTTTTTGGAGAAGTCCTTTAAAGAATGTATGTAAGATCAGTTGTTTTGGAAATTGCTACCAAAGTTTCTGGCCAAGCCATGAATACCATATTCTGTGCTAACTCTTCAAAACGCTAACATTAGATATTTTTGTTTAGCAACCTCTAAGACAAAATATGACAATTCCACAACAAACAAACAAAATCAACAGTGAAAGCATAGACATTTTTGAAATTTCACCATAATTCAGAATGAAAAATTTCTGGAATTTCCTAAATGTCAAGATCAATTCCATGAAATCACAGGTTGAAACAGGGAGATGTTCTAAAGATCTTTTGTTAAGAAAAAGAAGTTTCACAGATATGACTCTAGAATGGGCAAAGGAAAAAAAAAAACTTTTCAAAATCTGTATTTTTTAAGTTCCTATGTTGAAGGAAAGCAATGTTTGTGTATTTTTTTAATATGTTTTATAAAATATGTCTGCATTTAGTACATTAATTAGGGAAAACATTCATGTTTTCCTTTGAAATTCAAGTTGAGCACATCCTTACTAACTGCTTACACACAATTTCTATAGTGAATTAGTCATTAGCATCATAAAGTGCAGTTAATGATAATTGTTAAATTTTAATATTCAAAATATTTTTTATTTGCTTTTGTTCTAGAATCATTTCAAATTTAAAAGAACATTCCTTCCAAAACTATAAAGAACACATCCTTTTTAAGCGTCCAAATATCCAGTGCATGTCCTTGTAAATTGTGTACTTAGGTACACAAGGTTGAATTATCCTCTGCAGAAACTTCTCTTTTATGGATATAGAGGAAAGCTATTTAATTTAATTGTCTAAATCAAATCACTGACATTGATTGAGGTAAAATTCCCCTGCAAGACAGACTATTTAAGTATTGGAGTTACAAGTTATAGCACTTTCTTTCAGATGAAATGCTGTGGAAGATACAATGTCACACAGTGGGAAAAGAATAAAAACAAGGAAAACCATGCTCAGGTCCCATGTTCGTGCACTAAATCTAACCTGAACAAATGGTTTTGTGATATCCCAAGGAATTCAACATATACTGTGGTAAGAAATTTTAAAAGTACCTTGCAGGATATAAATTTTGCTACTAAATGGACTTCGGAAAAAATATTCAAAGCATGTTTTTCATCAAGACTTGCCTTGCAAATAGGAAAATATTAATAATAATCATTAATTTGTCACTTGTCACCCTGAAGCCTTGTTTTTTTTACTCTTTAGATATCAGTCATGTAGGCAGATACTTGAAAACAAGAGTGCAAATATCTGAGAATCAATATCACGTGGATATTTAATAATGATTTATGATGTAGTAAGCATCTTGGCATTCCATAATCTGTGCTCTGAAGATCAATAATTATAATGAGAAGTGTCGGTATATGAAAAGTATTGTACTGCTTGTAATTACTATTCCTATTTTTTATATATTATATCTTATATATCTTATATATATTATTTATATATTTATATATAGATTTATAATATATAATTTATATATAATGTATATAATATATATTGTTTATATATTTATATATTATCTATAATCTTATATTTATAGAATGACAGCAATTACTTCACCTGTTTAAGTTATTCATTTCCAAAGTATCTTCAGCACAGAATAAGAGCAAGATGTTGGAATGTTGCTCAAGGGCAGTTTGTTAACATCTACATATCTTAATATAAAGGGATCAACCTGCCACCTGATAAAATATATCTGAAGCTAAAAGATACATAATATTTTCTTCTGAGAATATTCTTGTGTTAAGGGGACTGCCTAATGCGAATAATAATAATTCAGTAGGCAATTCAAGACTGAAAATAGAAAGGATGTTGTCAAATGACATCTGGTATTCTCTTCCTTTTTTCCGATTGGAATTTTAATCTGTTACTTGTCATCAAATCATCACTTCAAAGTATAGAAAGCATTTATTTATGTTTTGTTATGTTTATAGCTATTTTAAGCTTTATAATAATTAACATATTATTAAAATCAGCATTATAACAATCATAGACTGTAATCTGAAAAATATACATCAGGATGCAAACATGTGAGAATCACTGAAGACTTCAAAATATTCTTTCCTTTACTGGTAAAGTGATGTCTCAGTTATACAAAAGGCAGCATCGTTTTGATTAAGTTACAGACTCTGGTACGCTTCCATACAAAAATATCAGATTTACAATCTGCTTGGTGTAGATCATTAGATGTGCAGTACACATCAGTATTTGATTTCTGGTAAGTAAATATCCCATCTTGGAATGCAGAAAGTTGTATTCCATATATTCTAACAGCATGCTATAAATATGCAATGTGAATTGAATAGTCAAAATGATTTTTCTTGAAATACATTCATCTGTACTTCTTCTAGGGTTCTACTCTGAATTTGTACAGAACCTAATCTATAAAAGTGCTAAAAGAAACCACAAAATCATATAAACCCTCTCCACCTTGAAACTCAATACTATTAAGCAGGTGGAAGGAAGTTTTGGTAGTATCTAAATCACGAAGCTGAAAATGGGATTAGTTTATTTTTATCAAAAGAATTAAAATTATACCTAATTTGTCTTTTCTGCATGTAATACCATCCTTCAAAAGTAGATAGTAAAAACACTCTATGGACTACATAACTCATTAGCACAGGATATGAGTATGTCGTGATCTTCAATGTAGTATAGCTTACAGCACTTTCTTGTCAGGTAGGAAAGAACTGTTATGCCTATTCTAAAGGACGCTACCAAGATTCATAGGGCATTGAAACTCTTAACTAAGTTATTGTCACTTGAAATAGATTTCAAGATTCTTCTGCAATATAAACCTAAATGACTTATTCAAGGTCACATAGCAAGTCTAAGCTTGAACAGCTTGTGTCTTCAGAAATATTTCTCAGTCATTCTCCCTTATATGAATGACAGTGCAGAAAGATATATCAGCAGGCAGATTGACTCAGTCATGAGCAAGTATCAATGTTTTCTGTGTTGTTTTTTGCCTGTCTTTTCTCCTTCCTCAGGTAGTTGTGATCACGTTATCCATGAAGCTATTTATGAACATCAGAAGGAATAGTATTTGGCCAAATTAATGATGAATTCATTTGGGCATTGCTGTTGTGCAAGAAGATCTGTTTCCTTCCTGTGACAATAAACAAAAGTTCACATTGCACTGTATGTATTGTAATCACCAGGATATTAACATTTGGGCTATAATGTATTTGATTATTTGATTTGATCATAGTTGATTTGATAGTTTGATTTGATTTGGTCATAGTTACAGATATAGCAATATGCTACAAAACTCTGTGTTTTTGAAGTGTTAAGCAGTATACCTTTTACTATATGGTTAATAAAACTTCAGCTGTGTTAGTGTGCCCCCTAATCTTTTCTTGTAAACTCTTGATTGGTAAAACTCTGTGTGTTCTTCCCAAGATATTGAGTCAAGTTGGCAAGGGGATGCAGCCTTCCTTCCAAGAAATACATTTTCAGAAATAAAGAATACTTTGGCAAGCATGAAGTGGCTTCTGCAGATACACAAGTGCTCAAATTCAGTTAACTTGGGATGTTCCTTCATTAGTGCAGTAAGTTATGTCCAAATCAAACAAACACCTATTCTTGCTTCACTGGTTGGTTACATGTAAAAATTTTACCCGTGGAAACCTCCTCTCAGCCTCTCCTTTTAAAAAGATAAAAAGAACAGGATTATCTGGGTAAATGCAGTAAGGTAATGGCTGGATGAATATGTAGAAAGTAAGGTACTCCCATAGAGTTTATTCATCCTACCTTTTCTGGGTGGGTATTTTATTATGGTGTCCTCTAGAAGGATTTCATATACTTGTATTTTTCTGGTTTGAGTATAAGCGTGGTTTCACTTGTCTGTAGTTTCTACAACTTGAAATGATTTAAACTTGATTAATTGATCCCTCTGTAATATTATGTAGTCACAGAATCACAGAATTGTAGGGGTTGGAAGGGACCTCCAGAGATCATCGAGTCCAACCCCCCTGCCAAAGCAGGTTCCCTACAGTAGGTCTCACAGGTAGGCATCCAGGCAGGTCTTGAACATCTCCAGAGAAGGAGACTCCACCACCTCCCTGGGCAGCCTGTTCCAGTGCTCCGTCACCTCACTGTAAAGAAGTTCTTGGCTTGTCCAAGTAAGAAGAGAGTGTGCTTCAGTGTGTGTATTTTCTTAAACAGTACATATCAAGACCTCTCATGAACATTCACCATAAAATGTTGCTGAATCAAGCATATAAATAAATAGATAACAGACATATGTATGAAAATAATGTGTAAGATTGGCCATACATACTGCCATACATGCTGCTGCTGACAACAGGAGTAATTATAGAAACATCATTATTAGTACAGAATTTACTAAGAAGTCTTGGAAAGAGAAGAGAATAAAATCTATTGTATAAAAAGGGGTTTTAAGCCTCATTTTTGCGATAAGAAAATGGAGATAAGTATTTGTTTACTGCTAATTTGTGCAGTGCTGATAGGTAGACACTAGAGGACACAGAGAGCTAAAGTATTACACAAGACATAGAAAAATAAACACGAGATTCACAGAAAGCCATGATGTACTTGTCTTATGACATGTATACCACACTTTAGAACATATTAAGTCAGAAGATTTGAACCATATAACACTACATTTTCAGAGAAAAGTTTTCAGAGACAGTGGGCTTCAGTGGTCTATGCCACAGCAAAAAATTCACTGCAGCTGTCACTGTATTAAAGCTCAGAAAGGTAATGAGTGATTACAGTTCAGCTAATGTAGAAGATGTATGGCCAAAATTAGGAGATGTCCCTAAAGGAATATATGATGTGAGAGTGCAGAGGGAAATAATAACTGCATAAGTTCCAAATATGTGTGAGTAAAGAAAAGAGACACAGTCTGTGGTCTTTCATGTGGCTTAAAAGCACCCTGCTGCTAGAGGCTGTCCTCCTTGTCTTCATGTTCTGCCTGAGCATTGGCACTTGTACACATACAGCTTTGTTGAAAACTAATTCAAAGCCCTGTCTGATCTAAAAATATCCAAGAAAAAAAAAGAAGCAGTCTGTTTATATCATTTCTGGTGCCATATTGTTTATGTAGTTACTGGCCAGTGCTAGTCAAGAATGAAATGCATACACGTTTCAGGGCTTCGGATTTTAGTTTGTACATAAAGTTTTCTAACTCCTCTGCAAAACTGAATGCCCCTCTTACCTTCTCAGCATCCACCCCACCACGTTATGTGCCTGGATGAACACGGTTTCAGCTGCAGTGACTGGTCCAGGACACTGACCGCTTTCACTCAGCACCTCGTGATCTCAGAATAGAATGCTGTCTTGAGATTTGTGGTCTCAGTCTCTGGAAGAGAGCAAAACTGAACATTTGTTTTTTCCAACCTGTATAATGGATGCTCCACTTGTTAGAACACTATACGTATTCTCTATGTGTACATATATATATATATATATATATCTATATATGTGGGGCTGGAATCCTGCCAGTATTATACCAAATTTAGTCGTAATGTTAGTCACAGACAAAAGGTGACTAATTTTTTCTGGGATTTTCTGGGGGTTTTAGGGAGGCTTTGGGTGACTCTACTGCTTGGTTCAAACTTGAATTCTTATAGAGGCAGAGTTACAAGCTAGATGCCCGGTACTGATGAAGCAGGTGCTTTGAAATCATGTGGTAATTGAAGTCAGGCTCCCAAAATATTTCTGGACAAGGTATGGAGGCACAAATGATGTGCCTACATGGCTAGACAGTCCTAGAAAAACAGTGGTGTGAATGCCAACTGATTGATTTGTGTTCATATTGTGAAAGAAATAAAAACTGTAGTTATCTTGTTTCCACTTACTGCTCAGCTCCCAAGAGAACGGAATATGCAGTTCTCACAGGACAACTCTAATTTGTGTTTGGTACGTATCCAAAGCTAATTTAAGCCAATGTCAGTTCTTCAGTGAATGTCAGGTCTGTGTTCTGAATTGGAAGCTTCTGTAGCCCTGCAGATAAACTACTCCAGTACAAAAGTTACAGAGAACATGCCCAGATATTTTAAATACCAATTTGGTCTAGAACAGATGTGATAATTTAAGGTATGGCTTCCAAGGCTTTGAAGGTATAAGCTCAAAAGAGCAAGATAGATCAAAAATTTGGCTGAGATGAAAAGCTTGAAAAATACTTTATCATAGAAGAATACTAGATGTTGGAACAACAAACAAATAAAAAAGGAACACCTAGCTTGAAAATGTAACTTTAAGAAGGTGACAATAGCTGTCTTTTTTATAGTGAGGCAGTTTCTCTTTGAGGCAGTTACTCTTTGAACAATCATTAACCAAGATCCTATTTTTCATACTTAATAAAAATATTTAGAATTCCAAAAATATAGTAAATGTTATATTTCTTTATGAGATCTAGTGATATTAATATATGATACTGGTGCTCTAATGATATTTCAGAATGGAAAATGGCATTTCTTTATTTAAAGAACATTCTTAAGCCTCAATTACCTGCCAAATGCACATAAAGACAGTTCTGCATCATGCTTTGATCACAAAACTTATGGAATTTATGTCTGATGACAGTAAAGTCAATCACAGTAATCTGTATATTTAATAATTAAAAAAAAAAAAAGAAAAAAAGAAGAAGTCCTAGCTCGATTACCATCATGGATTTTCCTTTGGAAACAATTTATGTTCATGTTTTTTTCCCAGTACAAACTATTTTTTTCTTAAGTTACATATTTTTTAATAGTGATTTATATCTTTTTTTAAAGACGACGAATCAGTGTTTTATTTCTGATCAACCAAGTAAAGCACTCCAACACAGAAAAATTATCCTATGAATTGCTGGAGTTTGGGGCTCACTAAATGGTCTTTTAAAATACATCTATCTGTAAATAAGCAACATTTTTCACATGCACTGATAGTTTCAAAATCTTGAACTTCTAGAAAATGGCTGTACAATTAGCTTATGGTGTTTTCTTATATGTAAATACATTCTGCATACTGGCTTTAGTTTGATTGAAGCTTTCCACAGTCTTGGAGCATTGCTAGTTTTTTTGCTTTGTCAAATGTAAGTTAAGTTCTAGATTATAATGTGTGAATTATAGGTTCACTTTTACTCATCCTGCCAGAAAAGAAAAGTTTACAGCAAGATACACAAGCTTAAAAACAGACTGAGTGTGGGAGGGAGGCACAGACTGCATTTTTTAAAAAAAAGGTTGTGAAGATTGATCAAATCACATATTTTTTGAGCCCTGGATTTGGCTGGAGTTGGAAATACTGCATCTCTCAGGATCTGGTCTAGCTGCAGCTATTTGGAATTTATATTAGTAAAGGTTTTAACTGCTAAGCGCTCCCTTATCTGTATGTTTTACAGGCACAACACAACTCATTATTACAACATGCAGGAGGGCACATATTGAACTGTACATTCAAATTAAGTGAATTAAACTTAAAACTGCAAGAGAGATCATTTGTAACACACGCCTCTTTGTAAAAGCTATAGTAGGATTATCGTACCAAACACATACTTCTACCTAAATTCAGTTCCACTCCTATGCAATCAGTTATCTGGAAGTGTAGTGAACTTAAAGGCCCTCTCAGAAGAAGGGCAAAAGGCATGATGACTTTGGAGGAGCAGACTTTTAATATTAGACATTTACAAAGACCATGGGAAGAGGAGGGTTCATAACACAATTCCCACTTCTCCCCAGTTTATTGGACATAAGATAAAGAGTGTTATAATGCCCAAAATGCCTGAGTGGTACAACCCATAATCTCTCCAGTGTATAAAACAAATGCGGATGGTTAACTTTTTCTTGAGATATGTGCCTGTAATTTCACACTCTTCCAGTGCAGGGGAAGCTGAAGGTTTACTGTCTATCAGACCTAATTTAATTCAGAATGCAAAAGTCAACCTGCAGTGTTAAAGTCTAGTACATATGATTCTAGCATATGATTCTTAGATACTATATTAGTTGCAAACACTATGAATTTACTGAGTGTATGATCTTGAACATTATTCTAGTGTGAATGTGAATAGCAACATACATATTTTTAAAGTGCTTTGTAGAATACTAATTGTTGT